TTGAGTCAACTGGCATGATTTCTATTCCCCGGTTGTATGTGACCAGGAGAAGGGTTGCTTGTCCAGCCTCGTGGGTTTCCCCCAGGTTCTCCGGTTTCCTCCCACTGATAAAGACCTCTATGCACAAGTGAATTATTTAAATAAAATTGAACCATATGTTAGTCCCGAAATGACCTAGTTTGCGTCGACTGGATGTTAAACTCTCTCTCTCTCTCTCTCTCTCTACCATGTTAAGACCTGAAGATAAAGGCCAGTTTTCCGGAGGTAACAAGAAATATTCCACACGAAAAAGCACCTATTGGTTATCTTTTCTGACTATGTCAAGACATTCACCAAACAAACATCTAGGCCAAATTTTAACGTTCTACATGATTTCCATTATATCAGTTGCCATAATCCGATATGCGCCAAAATCAAACCCAGTTGCTTGAACTGTGATCTTTGGGATATAACCATACAAAGATAACCACCCAAGGCGTGGAAATACGTACACACAGCAGCTTTGTCTCAACTGCACATCCAAAAGGAAAACTTTGATGTTGAGCAAATTTGATAATCTGGAACAAAAAAATTACAGAATGTTTAAACCCGAATGCTTCCAACCAAATTTGAAACTATAGCCTCTTATCACCATTTCAAGGTTTTTGGCAAAGAGGGATAACTCCAGAACAAAAAGGGGCAGAATGTTGAATATTGATAGGATTCATCCTCTCATGACCCCAATGCTTCCCAGCAAAATTGAAAGAAATCTGTTGAATTAAAGCATTTATCGCATTCACGATGCTTTTGGCAAAAAGGGGATAACACCGGAATGGAACAGTGAATATTGTTTAGGTTTGTTCTCTCATGGCCCTAAATTTGAAATAAATCTGTTAAAAACTGTAGCTTCTATTGTTTTGGGCAAAGTGTGGGATAACTCGGGAACCAAAAGTCACAAACGCTGAAAATCGATAGGCTTCATCCTTTCATGATCCCAAGATTTCTTTTAAATTTGGTGAGAAGTGTTTTCTCACGATTTTCGGCAAAGGGGGATTCCAAACACCTCCCACCAAATTTAAAAGAAATCTTTTAAAAACTATAGCTTTATATTTTTTTCACAGGTTCTTGGCACATGTAGGATAACTCTGGAACCAAAAAATTGCTAAACTTCATCCTTTCAGGGCCCTAACACTTGCCACCAAATTTGAAAGAAATCTGTTAAAAACTACAGCCTCTATCACGTTAAGGTTTTTGGCAAAGGGGGATATCTCTGGAACGGAACGTTGCAGAATGTTGAATAACGATAGGGTTCATCCTCTCATGGCCTCAATGGTTCTCACCCAATTTGAAAAACATCGGAAGGGAAAGTTGCGAAATACTGAAAATCATTATATTTATATATTATTATTATTATATTTACAGCATATTTATAGTGTGCCCTTTCATATAACATGTTCAGGGGCACCTTACAAAGTGACAATGTAAATCATACATAAACAAGATTATGTACATGTTAACGATTGTATACAGAGTCAGTTAAAAGCCTGATTAAATAAATGTGTTTTAAGTTGTTTTTTAAAAGAATATAGAGATGTACAACATCTTAAACTAAATGGTAGATTATTCCATAAAACAGGTGCTTGATAACTAAAAGAGCGCTGACCATAAGAGACTAGTTGAACAGTTTTGGGCTTTAAAAGTAGTTTATCTGATGTATGTAATGTCCGGCCAGGTGTATAAAGTTCTAAAAGATCTGAGAGGTAAACAGGAGCTAAATTATTTAAACATTTAAAATCTTAAATAAAATCTTAAAATCAATTCGATATTTAACAGGTAACCAGTGTAAATTATATAAAACAGGAGTTATGTGGTCACATTTCTTAGTTAAACTAACAAGTCTAGCCGCAGTATTCTGTACTTTTTGTAATTTATCTATAACTTAGCTTTAAAGGTAAACCAACTAAAAGTGAAGCTTTAAAGGTAAACCAACTAAAAGTGAATTAAAGTTATCTAATCGAGAAGTGACCAGCAAATTAACAAGTGACTTGGTGGCATCTACAGTTACACATTTACGTATTTTACCTATATTTCTGATGTTAAAATAGCACAGTTTATAAATACTATTTACTTGAGCTCCCATAGACATAAAACTATCAAAGATTGCGCCAATATTACGAGCAGAATAAGATAAAAATATATCACAATTACCAATTACAACAGGGGGGTTATCATGTGCAAATTTACTTAATTGATGCCTTGAGCTTAATAACAAATATTCGGTTTTATCATCATTCAATTTTAGAAAGTTCTTTGACATCCATTTTCTGAAATAAAATGAAATAGGGTTTAATGTCCTACTGTTCTGCTCGTATACTGGGCTAATGAAGACGGGCGTACGCCATACAGTGTGCTATGATGGAAATTTTGCCCGGGCAGGAGCACTATCGCCTATTCTTATATCAAATTCCTACTGCCAAGGGATCTTTTACGTGCATTTCAATGTTTACACGGGACCTCGGTTTTTCGTTTCATCCGAAGGACTAGACAGCTGTCCTTGTCAGGCCCTCCGTCCTGCATCACTGACAAGGGGAAACCACGTTGGAAAAGCGGGATGAACTTTCTCGGCCAATGCAGGGATCGAACACCCGACCTCTAGGCTAGCGAGCCAGCGCCTTACCCACCTAGCCACCGTGGCTCCCATCCATTTTCTAATTCCACTAATACAGTTCTCAAGTTGCAATTTTGATAAATTGAAAGAAGATGGACAATTAGGTGTAAATGAAATATATAATTGAGTATCATCGGCATACGAATGAAAGCTGAGACCATATTTTCTGACAATATCACCTAATGGTGACGTATTGAGGGTAAATAAAATCGGACCAAGAACAGAACCTTGGGGAACCCCAGATGACAAAACAGATTCAGACGATGATTTGCAATTAACTAAAATATGCTGTTTTCTACCCACAAGATAGCTTTCTAAAAGAATTAATGCAGAGCCACAAATACCAAATTTAAATTGAAGTGTTGACCTCTCATGATCACAATTCTTCACAACAAATTTGGAAATAATCTGTCTAAAACTATAGCCTCTATCACATTCACAAGGTTTTCAGAAAAGGGGGCATAACTCTGGTACGAAAGGTCACAAAACCTTGTGGATGTATATAATATTGTCATTGCCCCTGTCTGTCTGTCCGTCCATCCGTTCTCATTTTGTTTGTGGACGCTCTACAGAACCCTATTTTTATCCAATTTGACGAAGGTTGAAATATAGGTTTATATCCCAAAGATCTCGGTTCCTTTCGATATTGGCATGTATTGTACCGTAACATCCTGGATTATCGCCCCTGATTGTAAGAAAAATGACATTTTTAGTTCATTGACACTCTAGAGGTCACAACTTTTATCCGATTTTGAGGAAACTGAAAATGTATGTTTTATCCAATTTGGATGACACTTCAAAGATATGTCTTGTTGCTTTGCATATTCGATTTGCATTGTTCTCCATCCACCTTTTCCAAAATGTGAAAGTATCTTGCATGGCAACTGCTTATTTATGTCATTCAAACATTTGGTTTCATTGTTTTGGCTTAGTCTTTACTCTGAAAATTATCACTAACATAGTTGTCAGTAACTACATGTAACACTACAACTTGGATATCATTTAGTTGGGTTGCTTTAGCATGAGTATTAAATGTTCAGTTTCAAAACGTTGTTGGAAAACTGTTCAGATCTGTTCAGAATCATAGAAAACAAATGGGTTTCTACTGTTGTGTAGTTTAATTTTAAAGGGTCTGTCTAGTTTAAATAATGAGTGTTGGTTTTATAACTGTTTAGGAATTTTGTCACTTTAGAATGTTCAATCAGACCTTACAATTGAGCATTATTTTACAAGTATCTCAGTGATTCAATTTGCTTTATTGTACAGATAGCAAACTTGTAGCCTGATAATTTATGTACCTTCTACATATCTATAAACATTTCATGTTAGAAGTTCATGTAAAATGGGGGATCACATGGCTAAGTGGGTAAGACGCTAGCTCGCTAGCCTGGAGGTCGGGTGTTCGATCCCTGCATTGGCCGAGAAAGTTCATCTAGATTTTCCGGCGTGGTTCTCCCTTGTCAGTGATGTAGGACGGAGGGGCTGACAAGGAAAGCTGTCTAGTCGTTCGGATGGGATGAAAAACCGAGGTCCCGTGTACACATTGGTGTGTACGTAAAAGATCCCTTGGCATTTGGAATTCGATATAAGAGTAGGCCGTAGTGCCGCTGTCCAGGCAAAATTTCCCTCATAGCACACTGTATGGCGTATGCCTGTCTTCATTAGCCCAGGTTAGGAGCAGAACAGTAGGACATTAAACTCCATTTCATTTCATTTCATGTAAAATGATCAATAAATGGAAAATTTGTGATATTACTTTGAAAGTCTTTTTCCTTTTGTTTTGTTATAGTTGTGTATAATTATATAATTGGACCGGATGGAAGATGAGGTCATGGATCGCCGAAGCAAAGAAAAAGATAGACCTTTCTATGCTTTACCTGAATCTTTACAGGCGCCTTCAAAGATAATAAATGAAGCCAGAACTTCGCTTCGAACTGTTGTCACAAAGCGACCCTTTACTCCACGAGATGATAAAAGAACCCTCTTTCCAGCATCAACATCTCGCAATCCTGAGTCGAGACCAGCAAGTGCTTTTAGGTAAAAAAAATATGCTTGATATCAGTTTATTATTACTGTATTTATAAGCTTATTCATTGTTTACTTAATCTACGATTAGAATGTTCTAAATAGGCCTACCTCATGAATAGACTGAGTATGAATGGCCAAACTTCCGCTATGTGGGTGAAACAATGTAATTTATAGAGAAGAGCATACCTCAAAAACCACACTAAAACACTTTACAGATAGTCTTTTATAGTAAATTTACATGTATTTGTGCCTTTAGCCAATGAAAAATATTTTGATGTTTTAACGCCCACATTGAAATGTGGTCATATATTGCTGTTGCGTCCGTACATTGTCCACAATTTCTTGTGAACACCCTATAGACTACATTTACATTGTGATCTTTTTTAAATTTATTATATATGTTGTTTACATTAGTGAGATGAAGAATCCAGTGCTTCATTTATAAGGCGCGCTATCACTCTCGCGCGCCTACCGCGCGCCTTATTCTCAATCGAGGTGCGCTTTTTTTAGCGCTCCTCAAATTCCCAACCTCCATTTACGTGTGTACGTCACGTACGGCTTTGTAAGGCATGACAAAATACATAATGAACACGCTGACATTATATTTTGTCTTGTGTCAAGTATTGTTCTGACCAGTCGGCTCTGTTGACAAGAATGTGAAAAATTCATCGTCGGTACCGAACGAGTGTCAAAGCATGGTGTTTTTCGCCACCTGTCGTCAAAGACGCATCACATGGCTGTCAGCTACGAAAAACTGCTCAATGACAGCGTCAGTCGAACCGACCACAGCGATGGCGAGAGTTCATCTACAAGTGCAAGTATTCCGATTCCGAAACAACCTCGCATTGACAGCACCTTTCACGAGAATTCGAGATCGGCTTATATAAAACTTATGAAAACTGCCTACATGTTAGCGGTTTCTGGCATGCCATTCACGCATTTCCGTACACTTGTGAACGTTCAAAAAGCTAATGGTGTTCAAATGTTGAACAAATGTGACAATAGTAACATTGCTTGTACGTTTGTTGATGCTATTGCAAAGACCGTGAGAGACAAAATAACCGGAATTATTGAATCTGCCAGTGCCTTCAGCCTTTTAACAGACGGGTCCCAAGCGAGGAAAACTAATAGTGAGAAAGAGCTTGTCCTTATCCGAGTTGTGCGAGATGGAAAACCTATTTTTGCCTGTGCAGCACTCCAGGACATAGACGATTATGGAGATGCTGATGCATCCAACATAAAACAGGCCATTGATGATGCATTTGCATACTCTAAACTAAACATTGGGAGAGATGAATATGTTAAGAAATTGATTTCTTTTACAAGTGACGGGGCTTCCGTAAACACTGGGATTCATAATGGGCTATTAACAAAAATGAGACAGGATGATCGTGCATGGCTTACTTCAATTCATTGTGTTTTACATCGCACAGAACTTGCTATCAAAGACTCATTGCTTAAAGTTCCACAATTTTCAGTTGTGAATGACCTGCAAATATCCTTGTATTACCTGTTAAAACAGTCTGGGAAACTCAATCGCCATTTTAACAACATGGCTGACATTCTTAACGTTCAGGTATATTGTGTTCCTAAGGTGCACGGAACAAGATTTGTTTCTCATCAAAGACGCGGTCTTCAACACCTCCTAAACAACTGGATAGTCTTAGTCCAGACGTTTGAGGACTGCATTGAACATAGCAGACTTTCAAATATATCTGCTAAACTCTGTGGTGTGTTAAAAAAACTAAAAGACTATAGTTTCCTCGTCACTTGTGTACAGTATTTGCTGATTTTGGATAATGTTTCTAAAATGTCACTTACGCTGGAGACAGAAGATATAATAATTACAGAAGTCATGCCTGCTGTGGAGAAGACAAAGACCAGGCTGGATGAACTAGTGAACGATGCTGACGACTGCACACCAGAAGACTTGGTGAAGCCCTTTGTTTTCAAAGTGTCCACATCTGTACCAGAACCAGGTAAGCAAAACAAAAATACACTTTTTTTATAATTGTATACATGGATAATTAAAATCTGAAAAATAAGTCCTGTTAATTTTATACCTGATAAATATCTTAAGAAATTTACTTCCTGAAATACTTACTTCCTGTGAAATATTCCAATGGTACATGAATTTCTTCCCATACATAATTCTCAAATACAATTTTAGTATTCATGCACTTCATTTTAAAAGGATATTTGAATTTGTATTTTCAGATGCGACCTACACTTTGGAGAAAAACCTACTAAAACGAGGACACAAGAAGAGAAAGCCAGAAAATCGGGAACATATCCAGCTCTTCATGCAAATAACTGGGATCAAACATGCAGAAAAAGTGAAGGACATTGTTAGGGGAGGTGTAAATGACTTAAACAAATGTTTAAACGATCGATTCAGTTCATTTAAAACACCATTATTTGACAATATGAATTGGCTAAATCCAGCTAACTGGGTGGACTTTGATAAAAAACTCAAAAGTGTAGAATTAGTAGCCGAACATTTCAAAGAAACTCTTGAATTTACTGGTTTTGATGATTCCAAACTAAAAAGAGAATTCAAAGATCTCCGGTGGACTGTGCACAATTTCTATGAAGGTACAGAAGCAAAACTTTTGTGGAAAAAGATTTTCATCTACAGGAAGTCAGAGTTTCCTAATGTATGTAAACTGGTTGAGATTCTTCTCTGTATGGGCCCAAGTAACAGTCTGGTAGAGAATGGTTTCAGTACTCTTACCAACATGCTGACTGACCGGCGTTTGAGTTTGTCTCATAAGAACATGGAGAATCTTTTAATTATCAAAATCAATGACCACATCTGGTCTCTCGATGACCGTAAAAGTATGATAGATTCTGCAGTCAACAGCTTCATGTCCAGCAAACGTAGAAAGATGAAACTAGACCATTCCCCATCGTATGAGATTCTTGATAAATACCGTCAAAAGCGACAGAAACGCAAGGAATGGTACTTAGTTTCCGACTCTGATGCTGATTCTGACAGTCATAGTGACATGTCTGACTTAGAAGACCACCCAGAGCACATAGATGTAGACCCTCTGTCAGACCAGGAGTCTCTTATTAGTACTGATTCAGAAAATGAAATGGAAGACATGTCTTCGTCTGAGGCTGAAGATATTTTTCAGAGAGTGTTGGAATAAATGATTGACACTGAGCCTTTGACTGATAAGGACAAATTGTTGTCAAGTTTATTGTGTCTTGTAAGACTGAATTACTGGATAACTCTTCCAGATTTCCATACAGTATTAATAAAACAACTCATAATTAATTGTAATAGTAAAGTTTTATTTCTGTTTTATTCATTTTAGCCCGTCTTCATTAGCCCAGGTTAGGAGCAGAACAGTAGGACGTCAAACCCAATTTCATTTCATTTATTCATTTTAGGAGTCATCTTCCATGACCTACATGTGTATTGAACCAATGAAGTCACATTCTTAGAATATTTCACATTTACAGACTGCACTCAGAAAAACCACTATGACGGTGTGGTACTTCGGTGTGGCAGCACCATATAAAAATGGAATGTTATTTCCTAGCATGCTGCTTGGCTTCATGTACGTTTCACTGAATTGAAAAAAATCACTCTCCTGAACAGTTTCAGGTGCACGATTTTTAGCTCCCCTTGTCACTCCCCTTAACAGATTAAGGTGCACTTTTTCTAGCTCCCCTGCTCTATAACAATATGAAGCACTGAGAATCCTATTTAATTTCGACAATTTCCGTTAATTACTTCTGGAGTTATGGTCCTTGTTTCACTTTATAGAACCTTGTGATTGTGAATGCTGTAACAACTTAAAAAGTTACCATCCAATTTGTATTAAATTTATATGTATTATTTAAATTAGTTAAATGAAAAAGGCTATTGAATTTCAGCAATTTCTGTTCATAACTTCTTGTCTACTGCTCGAACAATTTAGCTGCTGTGGGCGTATGTTTCGTTGCCGGACATACTATTTTTATACGTCCACATTCATAAGGGGGACGTATTATGCCATCGCCCCTGTGTGATGTGTGTGTCTGTGTATCGCCTACAGGCCACAATTCTTAACTTATCGTCTTGAAACTTTGCATATTTATTCTTTGTACCCTAAGGATGATCCCCATTGTTTTTGGTGCATGTCCGACACCCAGGGGCAGAACCACATCCAATATTTGTATGTCTGTCACCTACAGACTGCAATTATTAACAGATCATCTTGAAACTTTGTATACTTATTCCTTATACCCTAAGGATGATCCCTATTGTTTTTGGTGCATGCCCGACCCCCCCATAGCAGAGCCACACCCACTTTTTTTAATATATGTCTGTTTGTCGGCTACAGGCTGCAATTCTTAATGGATGGTCTTGAAACTTTTCATACTTATTCATTATGCCCTAAGGATGACCTCTATTATTTTTGGTGCATGCACAACCCCCAGAGACAGAACGACACCTAAATTTTGTATGTGTCAGAACCACATCCAATTTTTGTATGCCTGTTTATCTCCTACAGACTGCAAATATTAACTGATCATCTTGAAACTTTGTATACTTATTCCTTATACCCTAAGGACAGAACCATATCTAAATTTTGTATGTGTCTGTTTGTCGCCTACAGGCTGCATTTTTTGTCGAGCACTTAAAGTGATACACAGCACCAATTGCCATCATGTCTCCTGCTGATAATTTGGCTAGCACCTTTTGTGTCTTGGAGTTCTGTAGCGATTTTTCGGACACGGGTATCAAAGGACATTGTTTCTACTTTGTGAAAATCTCCCGTGGTTCCATCACAGAAAAGACAAGCTGGTTGATGTGGCTCGTCTGTATCCATGGGGCATGCTGAAGTGGTTGAACTACGAAGGTGTTTTTTATGCGGTGATTGGGTCGTGTTCATACAAGCCTTTTCTTGCAGCTTCCTGGCTCTCTCCACTTTTGCTGCATTACACAGGACGTAACAACTTTTATGCCATCTAGCTTTATGCTTTACCATCGTTTTTTCCATGCTATCACCATCATCTAGTCGGGATATGTAAGGGCACTTTGTTCAATTCCTAAAGACAGATAAATTAGTGGCCAGAGACGAGTAACCTGTTATCAGAGAGAGAGTTTTTAACGCCCACTCAACACAAACTAGGTCATTTCGGGACTAACATATGGTTTAATTTTATTTCAATAATTCGCTCGCGCGTAGGGGTCTTTAGCAGTGGTAGGACCCGGAGAAAACGCACGAGGCTGGACAGGCGACCCTACTCCTTGTCACGTACAACCGGGGATTCGAAACCACGCCAGTTGCCTCAATGACAGGCCTTATGATACAGAGCGCACGTGCTAACCATTCGTTCGGCCATCCATTCGGACATCCCCCCCCCCCATCCGTTAAGCAAAATTATGACCATTTTCATGTGGACGTATATTGTCCTCGCCCCTGTCCGTCCGTCCACAATTTGTTTGTGGACAGTCTACAGGTCACAATTCTTATCCGATTTTGACGAAACTTGAAATATAGGTTTATCTCCAAAAGACCTCGGCTGCTTTCGATATTGGATCAAAACTTCATGGATTATGACCCCTGTTTGTGTGAAAAATCACGTTTTTAGCTTGTGGACACTATAGAGGTCACAATTTTTATCCGATTTTGTTGAAACTTGAAATGTAAGTTGATAACCCAAAGATATCGGTTCCTTTCGATATTCGCGCATATCCGACTGTAACTTCCTGAATTATGGTCCCTGATTGTACGAAAAATCACGTTTTTAGCTTGTGGACCCTATAGAGGTCATAATTTTTATCCGATTTAAAAAACTGTATTATTATATCACCGTTACACCCTAAGGATGGCCGAGTTTGAATTTCGTGAAAATCGGCCCAAAATTGACAGACAAAATGGCCGCCGTTCGTTCTCAAATAGCATAAAAATATGGTATATCAAGGTTGTGGACCCTATAGAGGTCACAATTTTTATCCGATTTTGTTGAAACCTGAAATGTAAGTTTATAACCCAAAGATCTTGGTTCCTTTCGATATTCATGCATATCGGACCGTAACTTCCAGAATTATGGCCCCTGATTGTACGAAAAATCGCATTCTTTTTAACTTGTTCTCTATCCATCTCTCGAAAATGTGGGCGTATCCTGCCTGGTAGCCGCTGGTTAGAAAACATTGTGAAGGAAAACATTATGAGTCTTTGTATGTGTTTTACTGGATTCCTTGACCTCAAAAACATAGGTATAGACATCAAGATCATTGAAATCGGTGCACTTGCAGAAATTTTATAGACGAGAACGTGTTTCATGGTGGTCATTTTGAATTTCTCAATTTTTGAAATCAGCATACCCCAAAACCCCCATGGCCAAATTTTCATGCTTCTTTCCGGAAGTGCACACCCATTTCACATATCCGCCCCACTACTGAAATTTATATGCATTATTTAAATTAGTGAAACGAAAAAGCCTATTGAATTACAGCAATTTCCATTTATTACATCTAAGAGTTATTGCCCGTTTCTATTCATTGCACCTTGTCAACGCTCTAATACCAAAAGTTATCACCCGATCTTTGTGAAATTTATATGCATGATTTAAATTAGTGAACGAAGAAACTTATGACTTATGGCTCTTGTTTCACTTTGTTGCACATTTGGAACGCTGTAACATCAAATGTTATCTGCTGATCTGTGTGAAATTTATATGCGTCATTTAGTAAAGAGAAGAATCCTATTGAATTTCAACAATTTCGTTTATTACTTCTAGAGTTATGGCCCTTGTTTCATTTTGTTGCACTTTGTGACCGCTCTAACCTCTAAAGTTATCTGCCAATCTGTATGAAATTTATATGTGCTATTTAAGTTAGTAAAAAGAAGAATCCTATTGAATTTCAGCAATTTCCGTTTATTACTTCGATAATTAAGGCTCATTTCACTTTATTGAACCTTGTAAACCCTCAAACGACAAAAATTATATAATCTGATCTGTATGGAACTGTCTTGTAAAGGCCCCCAATTACCTACAAAGGAATAAATATATGACAATCCTTGTTGACCGCTTGGACGATTTAGCTGCTGTGGGCGTATGTTTTGTTGCCTTGCAGCCTATCTTTTATTCTCTTCATTATGTACCATATCAATCAAAGCAGGAATGTGGACGTATATTGCGATGCTCTTGTTCAAATTTGCACGGCAACCACTTGTTACATTATGATTTTGTAGTCTTTTGATACTTCCATACTGAAAATAGTTTAATTCTAAAAAAATCTGGTGATGAATGTTTGTAATTGAACTATAGTATAACCAGGTAGCACATTTTCTACAAATATATATTTTATAAGAAAACCATTAATATTTGGTTACCAATAATAGGCCGAATTCTCAGGTTGAAAATCCTGTCACCTTCGCTCCCTCTAAACCGGTCTATAAAATCGGACAATCAATAGTGGTACAATCAATATCTCAAAGTTCTCCAATAAAATCTAATAGTTTAAGCTCGAAATAGGTCAGAAATCAATGACTTACATGTATTTTTTTATAGTGCGGAGCCATATTTGCGTAGGTGCAAGTTGGATCCTGCGCAGTTTTTTTAAAATTTGGCCAATCAGGGGTCGCACTTGCGGGGTTACAGTCAAAAATTCTGGGGTCAAGTGCCAGGTCATAGCATTTGTAAACAAAGCCAAGTGCACGATTTACCTTGCAAATTGCTCGCGGTCGAGACGAACAGACATCCAATGAACCAAATAAACGTTCCATCCGTGTAGAGAAGTGGCGTAAGAGAGCCCCAAAAGATATTTTGATCACATTGACACAAAATGTGGTTGTCAGTCAGGTTTTTTCGACACTGACTGAGGCTATAGGACCGGTCGATTTCACTGGAAAAATTCCTTCATATCAAGGGAGATTAAAAGGAATACAACGACAAGGCCACTGTTTCATTCATTTTACAGAACAACATAGTTAAAACATGTCTGGCCTGCTGTCTTAATAATGATCATGGATAATGTATAGCTAAGATTAAGAATAAATAAATATATTTTGAAACTAGAACTGCGATGCAGTAATGATGGGTTTCACCGGTGCCCCGTTACCCTTGAACATATGTCACTTCCGGTACCGATGAAACCATTAAACAGGTTTCCATTTAAGCATTGCACACATCACATAAAATGTACGCAGAATCAACCAAATCCGGCAATATCAATTCATTGTATACATTCATTACATG